ACTCACCTCAGCCTCCCAAAGTGCTGGAATTACAGGCTGAGCCACCGAGCCCGGCTCAATGTGGGACCTTTTTAAGTGAACTTAATCATTTTTTATGATTTTTGTGTTGGGTTTTCATTGAAGTTGAGCATCATCCTAAAAAGTTCACAGTCCAATGAATTTTCACAAATTGAGCACACTCATGTAATTGACATGCAAACCAAGTAACGGCAGAGTCCCCAGCAATATCCATGTCTTATCTTTCCCAGGCATTATAGGTTGGTTTTACCTGTGTTTGTCTTTCATATGAATAGAATTATGATGCATGGACTCTTTTTTGTGTCTAGTTTCTGCCATTCAACACTATGTCTGTGAGTTTTATCTATGTTATTGGGCATAGCTGTGTGGCTTGTTCTTTTTCATTGCTATATAGATATAGCATTCCATTACATGAATCTTTCACTGTTTGCTCTGTATCTAAGTTGATAAGTATTTTATTTTATTTTATTATTTTATTTTAGTCAGGGTCTCACCTTGTCACCCAGGCTGGAGTGCAGTGGCTTGATCCCAGCTCACTATAGTCTTGACCTCCTGGGCTGAAATGATCCTTCCACTTTAACCTCCCAATTATACCTGAGATTATAGGTGCGTGCTACCACGCCCAGCTAATTTTGGTATTTTTTGTAGAGGTGAGATCTCGCTATGCTGCCCAGGCTGGTCTAGAACTCCTGGGCTCAAGTGATTATCCAGCCTTGGCCTCCCAAAGTGTTGGGATTATAGGCATGAGTCACCGCACCTGGCCCTGAAAGACATTTTATTAAGAAGGCTTCCATGAATATCTTTGTCCATTGTTTTTGTTGAATGCATGTATACACTTTTGTTGGGCATATGTCTGGGAGGGAAGTTGCCAGGTGTGCATTTGTTCATCTTCAGTAAATACTGCCTAGCATTTCCCAAGTGGCTGCAAAGACGTCCCCCCTATCCAAGACCCCCAGTGGATGCTTGAAACCGTGCACAGGACTGAACCCTATGTATACTGTTTTTTTCTACACTATCACATTATACAAGTTGAATAGCATATATATCATGGACATACTGGACAAAGGAATGGTTCGTGTACCGGGTAGGACAGAGCGGGGTGGTGCAAGATATCATCATGCTACTCAGAATGGTGCACAATTTAAAATGTATGGAATTATTTATTTCTGGAACTTTCCATGCAATATTTTCAGACCACAGCTGACTGTGGGTAACAAACTGAGAGAAGTAAAACCTGCCAATCACAAGAAGCATTGTTCTTTGGTTGAGATGCCAGGGAGGTCTGGCCAGACTCAAGGGTGTGGATGGGGGGCAATGTTGATATTAGAAATGTTTAACCATCTGTGCTGTTTAGGGCACCGACCAATCAGAGCAGACCCTGGCTGGGTTGCTGGTTGATCCTTTGATTGATGGGTCCTGGGGAGGGGAAAGGGCAGCCCGAGGAGGAGGGTTTTGGGAAAGGTGTCTAATTACCAATCTGGAATGTAAATGTTTTAATAGTATAATGACAAGATGAATGTGGACTAATAGCAACCTGGGGTGTGGCTTTGCTTGGCAGTTCCGAGAGAAATACGGGGATGTCTTCACGGTATACCTGGGACCCAGGCCCGTGGTCATGCTGTGTGGGGTGGAGGCCATACGGGAGGCCCTGGTGGATCAAGCTGATGCTTTCTCTGGCCGAGGAATAATCGCCATAGTGGATTCGGTCTTCCAGGGATACGGTGAGAGCCTCGAAGGCACTGGGAGGTGGCGGTGGAACCGGGAGGCTGAGTTTGGAAGGGGAGGGTGAGGGGTGGGGAGAGTCCCAGAGCCTCCTTCTAACCTCCTCTGCAACCCATGCCACCCCTACATGCCAGGTGTGGTCTTTGCGAACGGGGACCGCTGGAAGGCCCTTCGGCGATTCTCTGTGGCCACCATGAGGGACTTCGGGATGGGAAAGCGGAGCGTGGAAGAGCGGATTCAGGAGGAGGCTCAGTGTCTGGTGGAGGAGCTGCGGAGATCCAAGGGTGAGTCCAGGGGGATGGGTGGGAAAGAAAGGTGGAATCAGTCGGGCTTGGTGGCTCAGCCTGTTATCCCTGCACTTTGGGAGGCCGAGGCGAGTGGATTGCCTGAGCCTGCGGGTTTGAGACCAGTCCCGGCAAATTGACCAGACTTCTCTACAATAATAACAAAACAAAACAAAATTAGCCCGGGCGTGGTAGCGTGCTGTAGTTCTGGCTACTTGGAAGGCTGAGGTGGAAGGATCGCCAGAGCCCAGTAAGTCGACGCTGGGGTGGCCGTGAGCGGGCGACCGAGTGGGACTCTGACTCAAAAAAAAAGAAAGAAAGAAACAAAGACAGAAACACAGAGAGGTGCAGGGGACACTTTGCAGCAGAAAGAGAAGTTGTGTGGGCAGAGAGAGACCAACAGAGCTCGAGAGACCATCAGACAGAGGGACAGGAACAGAGAGACAGAGGAATAGAGATGGGCAGAGATGGGTAGGAGAGAAATACGGAAAGCCAGGGCAAGAGAGAGATGCAAGGTGTATAGTGTCTAGGAATAACTCAAAGACATATATTTAGGAATTAGCATGCTATTTATTGGGTTTAGGGCAACCAATTCATGGATTAATTATATCTATCAAAGGCAAAAACAGGAGTTACATAAAATAATGAGTGAAAAGGAAAAACTGCAGATGTTTGGAAAATAGCAGACTGTTTTTTCCTTTCCTTGGGTGAAGAGCTGATGAGCTGGCATTGGGCAGAAGGGCCAGGTGGGGCGTTCTGCTCTTGGACAGCTGGAAGGGCGTCAAAGAAGCACTTTGGGTTGGTTTTTAATTCTCCATAACTGGGTGTTTAGGGATATAGAGATCCTTTGTTGGCACCTCCATCTCATTTATGCCAGGTCTTCATTGTCTTTTGTTAAAATTTCATAAGAAATTCTGAGACATAAATGCAGACGCTGGGAGAGGCAGAGAATAGGGACAGAGAGACTGAGAAGAGAGATAGGAGGAAACAGACACAGAGAGACGGAAAGGAAAAAGAGACAGAGATGGAAGGATAAAAACAAAGAGACGCACAGAGACAGAGAGAGTGGGAGTGGGAGAGACTCCAAGAAGCAGAAAGAAACAAAGACAGAGAGAAACAGAGGCAAAGAAAATTAGAGACAGACAAGTCTCACAAAAAGGTCTGCAAAGTAACGAAAGAAGATACACAGAGAGAAGTTGCACCTACCTAAAGAGACAGGAGATAGCTAGAGAAAGGCTAGGCCAACAGACAGGCGAGTCCTCTGGTAACAATGTAGTGAACTCCTGGCAGGCCTCTCAGGCTCAGCTGATAAACAAGCTCCCTGCGAGCCTCTCAGCTAGAGCTAAATTCCTCACTGCTGGGATGGAAAAACAACCAATCAGCTCACCATTAGGCCCCTACCTTCTGCTGATTGGTCCTTAATACTGACCAATCAAAAGAGCAGCAGCACATAGGTAGTGCGAGCCAATCGGCTCGGACTTAGGGCTATATAAGCACCAGGTTTCAGCCCCAGACTGGCAAACACTTCAGGTCCTCTCAATAAATCCTGCTTACTCACTTTCCGGGTGGCCCTGTACCTTATTCTTCCTGGGCATGAGACAAGAACCTCAACCCTGAAGAGCTGCCACCTGAAAAGCTGCAGCAGATCATCAGAATCGAAAAGTCGCACCCAGAGCTGAACCTGGAGAGCTGCTGGAAGACGGTGAGACTCCAAAGCTGAGACTGCAGCCTCAACCCGCTGGACTCCGGCGATCCTTCCGCCTCAGCCTTCCAAGTAGCTGGAACTACAGGCGCGCGCTACCACGCCCGGCTGATTTTTTTATTTATTGTAGAGATGAGGTCTCGCCAAGTTGCCCAGGCCGGTCTCGAACCTGCGGGCTCAGGCAATCCACTACCTCAGCCTCCCAAAGTGCTGGGATTACAGGCTGAGCCACCGACCCTGGCCCAAGTTTTTTTAAACTTTATTTTATAATAGAGATGTGTGGCACACATGAGGATTAGGGACATAAGTAATCTACATGCAGGTGAAGTTTGGGCCTCCAACTGGTCCTCACTTCTCCTAGTTTAGGACCAGTTACCCTTTATGTTGTCATGTGCTCCTCCACTCTGCCCCCAGCAGTGTCCTGCTACTGTCCATCCCTCTCTTGTGTTATTGTGGTTAATGTTCAGGTCCCACTTATGAGTGGGAACATGTGGTATTTGGTTCTTGGTTTCTGTGATAGATCACTATATAATTGTCTCTAACTCCATCCAATTTGCTGCAAAGTCCGTGATTTTGTCCTTCCAGCAATCCCCTTCTGGGAATATAACCAGAGGAACATAAATCGTTCTACAGAAATACTCCTGTACACTCATGTTTACTGCCACACTGTTCACAAAACCATGGAACCAACCCTATTGTCCTTGCTATTCTTATCTTTATCATGACCGAGTCAAGGCAGACAGTCACACAGAGAGATGAGGGTGCAGCCAAAGGTTCCCAGGCTCTTGCGTCTGTGTCCTTGACCCACTGCCTCTTTGTAGGAGCCCTTGTGGACCCCACCTTCCTCTTCCAGTCCATCACTGCCAACATCATCTGCTCCATTGTCTTTGGGAAACGCTTCCACTACAAAGATCAAGAGTTCCTGAGGCTGCTGGACCTGTTCTACAAATCTTTCTCACTCATCAGCTCTTTTTTCGGCCAGGTCAGAAAGGAGAAGAGGGAGGCTGGGGAATGGGATAAACATCCAAGGCAGAAGAAGGAAAGGATGACCTGCAGAAATGCAGCTTATGGCTGGAAAAAGGGCAGAGCCAACTCAAGGGAGACAGGGCTGTGGCGATCTGGAGGGAGGGAGAGATGGTGATGTGGGGACAGAGAGGCTGAGCGAAAGAATGGGCTGTGATGGGAGGCAGACATAGAGCGAGACTGAGAAAATGGAAGTTCAGGAGAGAGGGAAGATGAGAGAAAACAGGTAAAGGAGGGCAGAGATTAAGATATCCTGAAAGACAGAATTGATGAGAGAGAGAAAAAGAGAGAGAGAGAGAGAGAGAGAGAGAGAGAGAGAGAATGAGAATGAATCAGATGAATCAAACTTTCTACTCTTCTGCCCCAGATTCCTCTGTATCTCTGTCTCATTGTTTTCGTAAAGACCCTAACCTGAAGAAATTCAAGAATACATGACAATTAAAAGGCACATTTCTTCATTTCCTCCCCAATTTCTCCTTCTTTCTCTTTCTGTTTAAAAAAAAAACTTTCCCCAGATTATGAAACAATTTGCGGCTCTTTTATTTATTTTTTTCAGGTGATTTGAAAGAAAATTTAATTTATGATCAGTATGAGGCAATACAGTTGTTTTTTTTTTTGAGTTGGAGTCTCACTCTGTCACCCAGGCTGGAGTGCAGTGGCATTCTTGCAGCCACCCACAGCCTTGATCTATTGGGCTCAGGCTATCCTTTTGCTTCATCCTCCCAAGTAGCTGGAACTACAGGTGTGCGCTGCCATGCCTGGGTAATTTTTTGATTTATTGTAGAGACAAAGTCTCACCAAGTTGCCCAGGCTGGTCTCGAACCAACCCCTGGGCTCAGACAATCCTCTCTCCTCGGCTTCCCAAAGTGCTGAGATTACAGACTTGAGCCACGTGCCCGGGCAATATAGTTTCTTTAATCAAGAAAAAATCAATTCAGAAAGAGTGTGATTGTCCATCTTGATGTTTTTTGTTTTCCCCCATTAATGTCCATTGAGAATGGACGATCAGCAGCTGTTCAGGAGAGAGTCCCTCGGGTATGTAAATACTGTGCCTAAATCTCCTGTGTCTACAGCAACAGCAACTGGGTCCTCTAGGAACCTAAAAATAGTCAAAACTTTTTATTAATTGTAAACTGTTATTAAGGTTAGATAATGAACCTTAAAATTTTTTTTTTGTTTCAATAACTTTGAGGGGTAGAGATAGTTCTGGTCTGGGTTTTAAGTGTACCCACCACCCCCACCTGTGCACATTGTACCGTTAGTCTTCAGTGTCCATTATACCATTCTCTATGTCTTAGTTTAGCTCTCTATCCTTAGTTCAGCTCTCACTTACAAGTGAGAACATGTGGTGTTTGGTGTTCTGTTCCTGAGTTAGTTCACTTAGGAAGGTGTTCTCCAATTCTGTCCAAGTTGCTGCAAAAGGCATGATTTCATTCTTTTTGATAGTTGAAAGTATTCCATAGTGTATATATACCACATTTTCATTATCCACTGATTGGTTGATGGGCATTTAGGTTGATTCCATATCTTTGCAATTGTGAATTGTGCTGTGATGAACTTGTGGGTGCAGGTGTCTTTGTGACATAACTACCTCTATTTCTTTGGGTAGATACCTAGAGTGGAATTGCTGGTTCAAAGGGTAAATCTGATTTTAGTTCTTTGAGAAATCTCCATACTGCTTTCCATAGAGGTTGCACTGATTAACAGGTGTTAATTAATTAAGTGTTCCCCTTTCTCCACATTCACCACCTTCTATTGTTTTTTGATTTTTTAAAAATGGTCATTCTGACTGGTATAAGGTGGGATCTCATTGTGGTTTTAATTTGCATTTCCCTAATGATGTGTGATGTTGAGCATTTTCTCATATGTTTGCTAGCCATTTGTGTATCTTCTTTTGAGAGATGCCTGTTCATGTCATTTGCCCACTTTTTAATGGGGTTATTTGCTTTTTTCTTGCTGATTTGTTTGAATTCTTTGTAGCTTCTGGATATTAGTCCTTTGTCAGATCAGATGTATAATTTGTGAATATCTTCTCCCATTCTGTAGGTTGCCTATTTGCTCTGTTGATTATTTATTTTCCTGTGCAGAAGCTTTTTAGTTCAAGTCCCACTTTTTTATTCTTCTTTTTGTTGCATTTGATTTGGAGTTTTGGTCATATATTCTTTGCCTAAGCTGATGTCCAGAAGTGTTTTTTCTAGGTTTTCTTCTAGAATTTTTAAGGTTTCAGGTCTGACATTTAAGTCTTTAATCCATCTTGAGTTAATTTTTGTATATGGGGTGAGATGGGAATGAACTTTCATTTTTCTGCATGTAGCTGTTCAATTTTTCCAACACTATTTGTTGAATAGGGTGTCCTGTCCCCAGTGTATGTTTTTGTCTGCTTTGTCAAAGATCAGTTGGTTGTAGGTATTTGGGTTTATTTCTGAATTCTCTATTCTGTTCCATTGGTCCATGTGTCTGCTCTTGTACTAGTACCCTGCTGTTTTGGTGACTACAGCCTTGTAATATACTTTGACATCAGGTAATGTGATGCCTCCAGCTTTGTTCTTTTTGCTAGGGATTGCTTTGGTTATTCTGGCTCTTCTTTGGTTCCATATGGATTTTAGATTTTTTTTTTTCTAATTCTGTGAAAAATGAGGTTGGTAGTTTGAGAGAGATTGTATTGAACCTGTAGATTATTTTGGGTAATATGGTAATTTTAGCAATGTTGATTCTTCCAACCCATGACAGGTTTTTATGGCAACCAGTCCCAACTGGTTTCCTACCTTGGCCTCAGGGAGTTTGCCTTATGAATGTCAAAGTGCAGCCAGCCTCAGGGCCTCAGGTTTTTTCAGGCAACCTGCCCCAGCCAGGAACTGTCAGCAGACTAACAGTTTACCCTTGGGGGTTGTCCCCTTACAGGCTGGCTAGAATGCAGCTGTGCCACTCATAGGGTAACGTTTCTGGGAAATGGCTGCTGGCACTGCTTAAGGCTTTATTTTTTCCTGCACCACTACAGCATGGCTGTAGGTAAGGCAGTTTCCCATGAGGAGCTGGAGTCACACAAGGCTCAGGGGGCCTTCAGCAGGAGCAAAGAACTCCTGAATTCTCCTCACTCACCTTCCACACTGCATCCAGAGACTGCCAGTGGACTGTGGTGGTGAAGGCGAGAGTTTGGTTAGTCCAGCCCAGGTCGATTGATTTTTTTCTTCTTTGCACTCTGTGGTTATTATTGCTTCTTTGAAGCATGGAACATACTGCTGCCGGTTTTGTTCCTCCCTGGGTTCTGCAAAAAAACTCTGTCTTGGTTTACTGCGTAGGAGAAACTCACTCTAGCTGCCTCATGTTAGCCATATTAACTTGGTAGTGCTACTCTTTTTTTTTTTGAGTTGGAGTC